GATTCTACAAAAATGACTTTCTTCTACTGATAGATCGAGAGGTTCAAATAGTAAATGGTCCACTTTTTAAACACTCGATAACTTGTACAGGTTTTACTCTTTGAAGAAGTGATTTTCACGAAGTCGCGAGACGTCAGAAATTTATTTTTCTACTTCATTGGGATTTTATAAATGAGTTTCATAATCCATTTACGTAATACTCAAATTAGTTAGCTCTATCAGGTCGAATTTTAATCCTGAAGTTTTTAAAATCATAACTAGGTTTTACTCATCTATTACTTATGAAAAGTGATAGGTACGTTTTTTAAAGTTGGGATATTGTTAAAAAATAGAAAACCTTAGATTAATCTATCACAATGTTAATTGTGGAACAAGTAGTTTTCCCAACTCTGTTACTTTCTTACAAAGTGGGTTTTTCCTCACAGATAGAAATCAGCCAAAGAACCATTGAAAACATGGGAGCACTGGGTAGCTGTTTCTTCCTCCACACCGATAACAATGTGAAACGTCAAATGTAGGACCGTCAGGTCTCAGGGCGAGCACGTTTCCAATCCAGTCACTGAGTTAAAATCCAACGTTTTCCATTTCCTGTCAATTTATGATATAACATGACCACTGTCTAGTGTCATAGGTGAATATTCCTCCTCATACCTGGTTTGGTTAACCTCACAGTCACGGTTTCGCCCTAAAACGTCGTGAAGCCCATTTTGAAGCAAGTTACTAATGAGCATGCGTTTCTGACTAAATTCGGAAATCATGGAGGACTTAATTGACTTGCTGTTAGATATTAACCTTGAATATGTAACATGTGCGCATTACATATATGTGACTACTGATTGCTCTCCTGTATTATATAATACTATTCACTTTTCTCCTAACTGTCTTATTTTGCAATTACGGGAATTCCAAATGACAAAAACTTATGAAATATCAATTTCAATATACCATACCATCTTAGTAAAAGGTAACACCAATAAGAGTTTATTTTTTATCAACTTCCATTGAAATGCCACAGTTCCATCCTTGAGAATACTGATGCTTATATGTTAGATGAACTCACGAGCAAGCGTTTATTTGAAATCTAAAGTATAATACATTTTTTTGGGATTCGTTAGCAGTATGTACCCACAAATTTGGTAAGTAATAATAATAATGGCTTTATTCTGAAAGACATTGCACAGAATTTCCAGCATATAATATGGCAGCAGTTGAACAGAAATAGTATTAAGGTATACATCCTAAAATGAAACAAGTAGAAATTACTTTTATAAGATTGGAATATTCACATTATCAATGAGATTCATGATTCATAAGTAACAGTAAGCTGTGTACTCTTGAATGAGTTTGCTTTCAAACATGTAAGTTGAATAGAAGAAGACATTAAAGCGAACAATATTGTTTTCAATCAGCTCACATAAGTCTTTACGCTAATATACATAAATTTTCTCATGCATAAAATATTAAACCAATCATGGTGGATTATTTAGTACATTTCTAAAACTTTCTTCATCGGACACTATACACGATAAACATGGTATTGTAGTAGTACATAGATAAAGTTGTGTATACTTGTTCCTGGTCTTATCTGACCACCGACAAGCAGAAAGCTTTGCTTGAAGAGGGTGCTGGTCATCTGATGGAGTAACTACTGCCAGATGTTTACATGAGTTAATATGTTTGTTTAAAACAGTTTTAATTAGAAGGTTTACAGGTACCCCACCAGTTCTGCTGGAATCTGCACAGTTTTACGCTGTACAGCATAGTCTTTCTCAGCAACCCAGGAAAGAATGAAGAGGAATACTAGGGGAAAATAAGCAGGATACATGCGTTTATAAAAGACGTGAGAAGAGGCTACGTTATACCAGATCCTCTCAGCTTCCTAATTTAGAAGGTAAGCCGTATAATTCTTTTGGAAATTAGTAAGATATGGGAACACCAGGAAAGGTAGGAAGAAAAACGCGGCCGCTTTTTTTCATATATCTTTACTAGTGATTTGATATAGCCTGAGTCATGTGTGCGGACTACTGTATATGAGTACACGTGCACATGTACTTATTGGTCAGCAAATTGTGAAAGGCGGTAATATAAAAAAAGGTGTATTTACAATGTCAACGGCGACGTCAACAATACATACAAATTTCAAGGCTTATGTATATTGCAGTGGCCTACTAGATTTAAATTCTATTGATTGTTCACCTCTTCAACCAACCTGACACTTACTCTTTAGTTTCCGTATTTTTTTCCGAAATTTCGAGGTGAAGCGACTGGTTGAAAAGGTTTTAGGCATATACAGCTTCTTATGAAGGTTTTGTCAACCTGCACAGTGTAACAGTTATCGAGCTCCTCGGTATCTTCCTCTCGGCATACTTCAGCCATTTGAGTAGGTGCTAAACCATTGAGGTAGGCTGACGTCCCTCCGTACGACCAATGTACTATTGAAATTTATGAATTCATTAAATGTATCTTTTCTTTTTTTACATTCGTTGTTTGTTTCAAATTTGTATTGGGAAACAAATGTTTTCAACTGATACTTGGTTTGAATATTTCTGAAAGCATCTATAGTCATTGATATGCTTTCGTCTGATGACTGTGAAATCGGAAAACAACTAGTGTTGTGGTATTAGCTGAGAATGAAAACCGGAATGAAACCACAATTTCATGTTACCCCAAGACGCACCAGTCATATGACTTAAACGTGCACCAGTGTTGTACATGACTCGTATTCAAGTAAATTTTCAATAAGATTACCTTCATTATAAACTACTTTAAAGTTAAAGATGCAAACTCACCTCCCACTTTTTTGCCTGAACAGATATCTAACGGAATATTTCCGTTCTCGTCTTTGTTCACTGCATGCCGCGTGTAATGAAGCAATGGTGTTCAACTGATCATTTTTGAGATTTTCTGACTTTGCCGGCATCCATAATCTCTTAATCTGATTCAAGAATATATACGAAATTCTTTTGCCACAGTAAAGATTTATAATGCAAAAAGAGAATGTTAATGGTTCGATATCCGTAAGGTGTTGCTGTCTATTGTCGGATAATTTGTTAATGTACTTAGTGACTTCTTGAGTGCCTTACTTGATGATTGTCTCTGTTAGGTAAATACACTAACAGCACATAAAGACGTAATGATAGTTTCTAGAAATGGTCTGGAAATGTTTGGGGCAAGATTATGCCTTAAGAATCTAGCGAATGCCATATCACGTTAACGTACCAATCTATTTAGTCTGCGAATTCCGGTTTGAGCCAGATTTTGAAGCATCGGCTTCATTACTGTGGCATACAACGCAGTCGAATGTGATAATTGTAGACCTTGGTTAGGTGTTTCAGAGTCAAGCAACAGATGATGATATATTTTTGTTATTTCTCCAATATAAAATCTTTATTATCATATAACTGTTAATTACCTATTTATGAATGTTTTAATATGACAATTGGGACAGAAGGTTATTCACACGAGTACCTACGTCATTTGAACCTGCCTATCTAGTTTTCATCATTTTAGTGTTACTTACTTAAAACTTCCAAGGGTAATAAAGTTTTCTAGATATTGGCTATAAACGTCGAATCCCTCCTGATAAATGTGCTGTATTTTATTTCAGTGAACAGATATCCAGTAGATGAAAACTATCTGTACCTAAGCAAACAGGTTTCATTGATCATCGTTTTGCTTACAAAATGAAGGTTTACATTCATTTAAGATTACTTATTTCCTATAAGTTGATTGTTTGAATTGGTTGATTTATATCTAATTAGGCCTATAATAATCAGACTGAAGTAAAAATGAGAAAGTATTCTGCCCAAGCTTCCATTTTGCTGTCATTTCATTTGACGATCTAACAAGGAATAGTTCGAATGTATCTAAATCGGTCTTAAAGTAGGACTGGATCTTTTAGTCAATTTGCAGTCTCAGATATATCTATTGATATCTTTGAAGTTTATGACAACGATGGAGTCATAACAAGTTTTAGTTTTCGAATATTTTCACCTTTGAAATCACCTTCCCTTCATTTTGATATATCTTGAAACTTGGGTGCTTTATTTGTCTGATATAACTTCACACTCAGTCATGATCTCTTCATTTGATGCCTTAGTTTCAATATGTTTGAAAGTGGGTGGTTAAAGATAATAAGAATATGCTAAACTCGTTTAAGTGTTATTTGATTACTCCGATACTTTTGGAGAAGGTTAATTGAGGCTTGAAACTTTCATGGTAATCAGTAGTGAAGTTATATGTTTGAGAATAAGTATATTGTCTCTAAAATCTTCCAAGAAACCAAAAACCTGCCCAGAAATTTCGTTAGTCAGAATCAAATTTTATGTCATTTGTGTTCATTCACATTGCTATTTTCAACAATGATAAAAGCAGCTGAAAATGTGAGTGATTTATATAGCACGAAAAGAATCTAGCTGCTGAACTAGTTGAACAAAAGAGATATCAAGAAAAATTGTTAAAGTAAAGAAAATAGTAATTATATTTTGACTAAAATCAGTCAACTCTCCAGGAGCCATTCAGTTAAATATAGTGTTAACTAGTGACTGACTTTGTATTGAATCCTCCAGAGTTTTAATTAAAGGAAACAGTAATCTGTGATGTTGTTCATGTTGGAAGACTGATGCTGATTTATAACTTTGAAGACTGGCTGCACTATTATATTGAATCAAGTTGGAAAAAGCACTACATTTCAACTGACCATTTCAATAATAACATACCATAAGTTTCGACGGTGGTTGGTTTGATTGATTATACCTATTTATGAGTACAAACATTTTAATGAGTCTCGTGCTCAGACAAAGCCGTTTCCTACATTGCTTCATGGTTTTCATTAGCTTTCTGACAAATATCTATCCCTGATGAGAAGTACTTTCATATGTACAGTTTTGGGATCACCTTTATTTCTGCTTTTACTATTTAACTTGCTTTCACAAAGATTACATTGATATCCTTTTAATTCAGCCTTTATGTGGCTTATTTTTTCTGTTTCATCGTTGTAGTAGTTCAAGAAAGAATATGCAATCAAGAAACTGGAAATGATTCTGATTCGAAATTGACGACGTGATTGTTATCCTTCTCTATTTTGACAATTTGTATCACATGAACACACATGTATTTTATCACCAAATATAGTCTATTTTACATTCTTTACTCTTTCTGTTTATTGAGACTGATTTTTTCTTAACAGAGAATGGGGCGAGTAGGAATAATAGTGGCCAAGTGTTGTATGTTGAGTAAGAAACAGGTTTGTATTACGCAAACTGATTGAAAATTCATACAAAATGGCAACGGGGAATCGCAAGTACCAAGGAACTACAACTGATCCCCGTCGCACAAAAAGTGGTTCTAGTCGCCCAGTGGATAAGGCTTTGGTGTTTGAAGGGATGAGCATAGTGTTTGAGTCTTAGTGGGAACAGCCAGTCATTGGGGAGCAGCCGTTGAGTTTAAAATAGGACGAAACGCACCTTCTAGATTCCAGTACTAGTCATCAAACAGACTACAACATAGTTAAAAATCAGTTGATTCTTTCCGAACAAAAGTTGTTGTTTTTATCGTCGACTCAAACATTTTTAGTCTATTTAAAATCAGAAAAACTAACCAACTACACCTAAATTGAAACTGAACTCCACTTTTTTCCAAATTATATTCACTTGCATACTGATGTAAACTGGCATCATGTACATTTGTATTTATGAACTTTGATGCACTTGTAGCAAGCTAATCAAGACGACTATCATTAGTGTTTCTACTTGTGTCTGAATTTTTTTGACTCTGCATTTATCGAAAGCCTTCAGAATAGTAGTGTTTCAGAAACTTCTGGAAAGTTTGTCTTCGTTAAAAATATTACCGTGATCTTTCTTTCAAAACCACATGTTTCTGTTTTGTCATTACACTTTCGAACTAAGAATTATGGTTTATTTCGCTGTATGATTTCCTAACATTTTGGTCGCACAAATTTATAACGCATGTGGATAATGTGTGTTGTATTTCTGTACTTTATACGGATTTTATCTTCAGGTCACTTGTCGCTAGTGAGAAACCTTGAATTAAAATGATATGGTTTCATTTTACAGATATTGTGTTTCTTACTCAGTTGAAATTTATACAGGGAGTGAAAATTGAGGCAGAACTTTGCACACAAGTGTTTCGATCCAAGTCACCACTTTTCACAATTGCATGCAAAGAAAAATTAGAAAAAGAGTGATTTCAAAGCAGACAGTAGTGTATGGCAGGAGAAGGAATCTAAAATCGGAGGTTATTCAAAGCATTCAAGCTTCAGTAAGAATTCAGTGAGTGTATAGATGATTCAGACCAATGGTCAGAGACTTCATGTACTTGTGCCACGTTTTGATCTGACTACCCTAAGCCTTCAAACCTAACTCAACCTTGCTGAACCTTTCATGATCAGGTCGGTGGTGACTCGGCATACTCAGTATTAGTCTCAGTCAATGAAGGTTCACAACTTTACTGACTGACTTGCTTCTCTTGCCTTCGGTTAACTTTTACAATATTCATATGGTGACTCTATCATACGCGATAAATGCTACGAAGACACCTTTGTTCGAAAACCTGTAATTTTTTGGATTTTTACTTTCAACGACCATGTCTCAGCTGAATAATAATAGAACCAAACGAACTGCTGCACAATATCCTTGTCTTTTTGCAGGTAGTCGGATATTTTTCCGGAGCTAGAGATCATGCGTGTTGGCGAATGCCGAATTGGCCTCCTGTATCCGAGCTGAGATTTTGTTAGTAAACATCCCGTTGCGGTTGATGCAACTCCACAAGTAGGTGAAGTGATCAACGCATCCTACCATTTCACCCCTTATCTCTATAATTAGAGCATATGCCGATCATTCCTGAAGTGTAGTTACATTTGAAAGGTGTCATGTGGATGCTAAACAGTCAGACTTCTGTTCAAGACCTTCAGAAATGTATGCTTTTTTCTGCAACTTTTGCATAGCAATACAGTGTCGTTTGTGTACTCCAAGTCAACCAGATGTCCTTCAGGAAGTATAACAATCTCTTTGAAGTCAGGGGTATGTCAAGTTATGCTCGTTATTGCATCTCTAACCAGGTTAAATATGGATGGTGACAGTGGGCATCTTTGAAGGACATCATTAGCTATCTCCAGTTATGATGACAACTCTCCATAAGCCCTGATATAGCTACGTGAACATGGGTAGGGAGTGGTGATAAGTGTTACCTACTCGGTACTCATTTTACAGTCAGATACTGCCATAACATCTCACGGTCGACGGAGTCAAATGCCGCCTTCAGGTCAAGAAATATTGCAAGTGTCGGGTGTTGGTCTCTAGGTATCCCTGTGTCTCGGAAACTGTTGGAGGGTTGAAATCTGACCGATTCACCATCGTCCAAGTCTGAAACCGTAGTTTTCTTGAGTTTGCTGTTCTCGAGCGTCGGATAACTATTGTCCCTAGGATCGTGGATACAATATTAGTTAAACTTCTCCTTTGGTTGTCGCAAGAATTTTTCTTCCCGTTCCTGTTGACTGGGATGATCAATGAAGTAGACCAGTCTGAAGGGACTACTCCTGATTTCCATGCACTACCTAGTACCTCCATCACTCTAATTAGCAATTTCCTACCAACCCTGGGAATTTCTGGTGGAAAACTGTCAGGTTCTACTACTTTCTATTGTTGCAGGTTAGAAACAGTCTACTCAGCTTCAAACAGAGTTGGAGGATCGACATCTACGTCCCATTCAGGTTCAGACTGAATGTTGAGCAACTGAAGCGTTCCTGATGGTCAGCTGAATGCTACTACAAAGTGTTCTGCCCAACATTCTAGCCGCCTATCCTGAGAGGTTATCAGAGTCCCATCCCTTACGGTAATGGTTTCACTGAACATCGTCTTCTTCCTACCAATATCCCTATCAATCGCGAGTAATAATGAGTGAAACCGAGTGTTTGAAAGTGTCATCAATCGTCAGTTTGCCTTATCTCCTAGAAATACTGTACTTAGAACTTCATTTTCATTTCTGAAAAACGATCTATCTATTAATGATGGTCTAGCTTGTCTTCTTAAGTTTTATCAAAATATAATAACCAAGACATTTGGTCATAAAGACTGTCATGCACCGCAAAAGTAGATTACAAGGTAGTGAACCGTGACTATCGCCAAGCGAAATTCTCATCGAGTTGATAATGTGTAAACAATCTTTTTCCACTAGTATTTATAACGATGCTAACCTTTTAGTTTAAACAAGCGTTAAAATTGATCAAAACTTTCTGGAATTGAAAAGCATTGAGTCATTGAAAAATAAAATCTCTTGTGACAGTCTGGTAGTCGGTAGATGTAGCACTCAGATTTGAATGATACTTGTTCTCACTTATTAGAAAACAACGAAATGGAACAATGGTGTCCTAAACATTAACAGCTTAAATTCTAGGTCACTTTTCAAATTTCCTTTTGTGTATAAGCAGGGTTTAGTGAAATAAAATTATATGACTTTATTATAGAAATCTTTTGAAGCATGATTACTTACTAGTTCACTCTTGGCAACTGTTTGCTAAAATCATGAACAGTGACATAGCAAAGTACACAAATCGAACTGTAGAAGTGATGTTTTCACCATTCACCAATTAGTTAGTATAATCGAAACTGTAACTTGGAGATTTACATCAGGTCATTTTTTGAAAAATAATTTTGTTTTTTCGTCTACCTGCACTGATTATATATGAATTATTTTGGAATAAATTAATGTTGACGTTTGAAAACCAGATATCCTATTTATGTATGACTGTCAGTTAGATTATAATGGCAGATAATTTGGCGAAATGCGTCCGCATGCTTTTTATAGCGACTTAGGAATTCATGGGAAATGATTATCTAAAATGATGTAAAAATAGCTAAAATAAATGAATCATAATGACAATTAGGATCCTGGCTGACAGTGACTTTGTTTCGGTAGCCTATTTTGAAGTTTTTTTCGGTTGCCTCCAGCGGTTGATTTTTATGTTCTGCATTATACAGTCTGGATGCGATAATCGTCTCCAAACTGTGTCAGCCAGAAAAAAATGCATCAAGTACTCAGATTTGTCGAAATAATAATGAAACACCTTTCATCGATTCAGTATCATACACTGGATGACGTTTGAGTAGAACTTATCGCTCAAAATCGGATCACGGAAGGCTTTCATTTCATTTATGCCACCCTGTCACTTTCCCTTCTTTTATCTCAGTGGTATTAGAATATTTTGTATGCCTTTGATTGATATTGAAGTATTCAAGTCCAGATTTATAGAAAGTTGTAATACTGATACGATCGAAAAGTTAAAGAAAGGAGAATTATGTGAAATAGGTCGGAAATCTGCAGAGTAATTTTGTGTTATGACAGGAAATCGGTTATGTTCTAAACTTCTATTTGCTGTGTGCGGTAACAAGTAAACTTTTTTATCGCGGAACTATACTTTATCATATTGCTCAAGTTCTCTCATATTAGCAAAATATCTGTGTTGTAACCCCAGTAAAAGTTGATCACTAAAGAAATTATGCAAAATAACAAATCATCCTACATGTTGTTCTAATCGTCCTCCTGTGATAGTTATGATATCTATTGCATATTGTTCAGTGTTCTTATAAGATATGCGTTAAGGATTGCAAAAACCATTTTGCATGTGATGAAAAAAATGAATAAGATGTTTAAAATGAATTTATTACAACAATAATTAATTCTTTCTTTATCCATTTTATTCTGTTTATTAGAATGGGGATATAGTGAAACAGTATTATTTGCTAGTTAACGTTTCGGACTTTATCTCTTGTTCATATTCTTATCACATAAGTCCAGAACTTCGACACATGGTTTATGTAGTTCGAATCCTAGGCGTAGTGGAATTCTCCATATATTGATGTTAATGACAGGTAGTGGCTAGCCATGGAATCCAGGTTCGCGTTTCGTTCCTATTCAGGACTCCTCAACTGGATGTTCTTGACTCCCAGTAAGCAATGTCGTTCCCAGTAGGACTCGAACTCGAGGGTGATCACTTTCAACACTAGAGCGCTATCCACTAGGGCACTGAGTCTTGTATGCACTTATTGTGGAATGAGTATAGTGTATGTGATATTGTTTATATTATCCAGTCGTTGATTGGATCAAATCGATCGGTTTCTATTGGCATATAGGCT